CAGCAGGTATCGCGTGGTTCAAAAGTAGCTGAGTGTCCTAAGCAAGATGGCTTCCCTTTAGGAGAAAAAGATCTCCTTCATTTCTAACAAAATTAAGCAGGATCACGAAAAAGTTACAAACATGAGCAAACATTTTACTATAAAAAGCACATACTGTCGAAAACATGGCACATAGCATGAGAAATTCAGACATCTTCACACTCAGTGAAGAGAAACACTCCGTGGTAATTAACCATATGAACAAGAATAACAGAGGATCAGCTGGAGAGGTCCTGAAAGAAATCTTAAACCAAGAAACTAAAAAATCAGTTACTACATAGAAGCATTTTTCAAAATGGTCCTTGTCACGTACACTGTGTCAGACAGCAGAGGCTCAGTGCATGATTGATTAAACTTGTACAGAAAAGGAGATTATATTTACTAGTATCTGGTAAATTTTTGAGGTAGACAGAGTTTATATAAGATGGTTCTACCTAATCAAAATAGAATCGGTGCAGGTGACATTTAAGATTAAAAGTGCTGCGAGATAATTTAAACTGAAAACCGAGGAAAACATGCCAAGTGTGGAAAGTAAATTGTTCAGAGCGATATATCTGTGTGGTCTGAAAGCACAGAAAACCTATGACTTAAAAAAAAAATAAAATAAAAAATAAAATAAAATAGAAGGGACTGAAAAACAAGCAAAACAAAACAAAGAAAAGCAACTAATACTCCAAGTAATTAGCTCACATCAAGATAGGCAACCAGATCAAGTCAAATGTCTAAATATCTCCATTCAAATACCTCAGTTTTAAAGTAGATTAAATGGCAGAAGCACTGGGGAATGCCCATATTTGTTTTAAAATGAAACTTTGGTTATGAAAGTTTAATGACAGGAAGGTGTGCATTGGAACATTAATAAAGGAAAACAGATTTCATACAAGACAAGTTGTTTTTTACACATTAATGCTAAAGAACATATGGTGACAAACAACAGTATGTGTTGTAATACAGAATTTCAATGGCTGTGCAATTTCATTCCATGATAAAAAGAGCCGTATGTTGTTGGCGCTGTGCTATCAATCATCTGACCAAACTGAGGTGAGTGAAGTGCTAGAGACAATCAGAGAGCTTGAAGGGCAGACAATCAATAACAATGGAACAGTCCAATCATACTAGACAAGGTAAATGTAATAGTGCACCGTGACACAGACTTTGTCTGCACTGGAGGACTACACCAGGATAAGACAAAGGCTTGAGCTCTGGACTGTGATCACAAGCTTCTCTCTATTGTTAGCAAATAGTTTAATATGTCTGCTATCCATCTCAATGAGCAAGTCAAGGACAATTTCCAATGCACAGTGTGGAAAAGGTCCCCCTCCTACTACTGGGGAAAAGAGTTTGGGTATGTGGAGGTTCCATGATTGTTCCATGTCTTCTAACCTTATGACATCTATTTCCCAGAATTGATGTAGGTACAAATTAGGCTATGTAAATAGTTGCTTCTTGGAGTCGTTTTATGAAAGTACATGCAAGAAAAAAAATGATAAACTATTATTTAATCCTAAATAATAAACAAGACTCAGTACAATTTGAAACAGCAACAACAAAATAAAGAGGCAACAATAAGCCCAAAAAGCTACTTAAAGTGCCAAATGTCTGCAGAAACAAAAGAGCTGTTTAAAAGAATCATTTAAAAACTCAGAAGAGATCTTAAGCCTTCTGCAAACCCACCCATGCTATAAAGGTAGGATTTCTGTAGCCTCAATTTTCTGAAAGGGTAAACAAGGCAAGACAGGTAAAGAAAAATGATAAGTTACGATTTGTTTTCCAAATAAATCCTTTGGTTTAATAAAATACAAGTATCTTTCCTACAAGCCTTGCATAACCTATACTTGTACTCACTTGCTTTCTTATAATAAATCTATAAAGGAACTCAAAATGCAATTGCTGACCAAGTAATTACAGCAAATAAATCAAAGGCTTTGGCTAGTTTCAGTACCAGAGAAAAAGAAGTACCAAATGAGATTTTTTTGAGAAGGACTCAAAGAATAATCCAGGGAAATACTGGCTTTTGAGTAACTGACATAGACCGTAATGAAAAACAGAAGTAGTAGATACAGAGTTTTGCTTCACAAAAGTACTAGAGCTCTTGAAAGAACTCCAGGAGCTAACAGAGACTGGGTCATCTTGATGCTGTATTCTATTTAGATTTCTGAAAAGCTTCATGAATTCCCTCAAAAAATAAAAAATAAAAATGGAATATTCCTTTATGTAGATTAAAGGCAGCAGAAGACAGAAAACAGGTGGTTATTTTTCATATTGGAAAAAGCTTTAAGTGAATTCCCCCATGAATTTATGTTGTTCAACATAATAAGTGATCTGGAAAAGAGGGTAACTGACAGGTCCAAAACTGGAGTACTCAAATCTAATATTGATGGAAAACATTGAGTTACTACGTATGAAAGGGATATTAAATTCAATGTTAATAAGTGCAGTGTAATTCACTTTGCAGAAAAATAATTCTAACTACAGAACAATATCAAAGAAGGTGTAAGAGTAGACAAACAATAATGGCAGTAAGAGAGTCCTGTCATCACTGACTGGATCAATAACATTTCTTTAATCCTGTATTCAGTTCTTGTCCTCTCATGCCTAAATTAATACTGTAGAATACACTGAAGAAATAGAAAGGGTGCACAAGCCCAACTAATAATATCAGAAATATTGAATTAATATGAAGAGAGGGTAATCCCACCAGAATTCCTCATCTTGGGAAAAAAACAAAACAAAACAAAACCCAGAGGTGGTATGACAGAGGATTAAAGTAGCACAAACAGGAATGAAATTGTAAATAAGGAATGATTATTTGTTACTTCTTATAAAGGAAGAAGTCTTCTCTGAAGGATTCTGGGCTGGATAAAAATATCAGGTAAGGATTTAATTATTTACTGTGCACTTTTCTGTGCGTACTACACTCTTGCTTTAAGCATCCACTGTAAGCTATGAGCAGAGCTCTTCTCCATTTACATAAGATGATTCTGAGGGTTTCTTTTCATGGAACTTTCAGCTCTGCAGTAAGAACAGAGGGAGTGCATAGGGAGTGAGAGGAGTCAGAGATTAATCATTGGAGATGTATAGGAATAAGACTGTGTGCAGATGTGTTTGACAGTGTATAAACAAGCGTATAGCAGTTGGCAGGATAGGTTGGGCTTGTTTTGCATTACGCTGTAGAGATACAATTTTCTCAGAAATTATCCAGCTGCTGTTCTTTGCAGGCTTTCCATTCCTGTTTCCTTTTCTATTAAACCATTCACCCTCAGTTTCCTTCTTCATGTAAAAGAAAACCCCCAGACTTGCAGAAACACAACGACTGACTCGTTCCACATGGATCATATTTGCAACTATTGAGGTCACAATATACTTAGCAGCTTAATCTCATGCAAAGTAGGGTAAAACATTTCTGGTTGAGGTTTATTCCTATAAAGAAATAATAAAGTTATTACCTGAGAATAAGAAAATTTCTTACTGTCAAAACACAGGCAGAATCTTTGAAGTTTGAGTCAGAGAGTTGCAAAAGGTGATCTACACTATTAATTGAGATGTCCACTTCTCCTTTTTTGGCTACCTAGGAAATACAGGAGAATCACCTCTCAGATATAAAGGGTGAGGGACTTAAACTGCTTTGTGGAAATCTAATCACTAGAGCCTATTACAAGTGCATCCTATGTCATCAGAATCACAGAATCATTAAGGTTGGAAAGACCAGTAAGATCATATAGCCCAACCATCATAATGCTTCCTTTCCTGAACATGAGTACTAGCAGAAGGGAAGGTAGCCAGAACCTCCTTTTGCACAGCAACTCTGGGGCTTGAGCTCCTGGTCAGTAAAACGAAGACCTAGGACATGCAACAGTCCCAAAGCCAACAAAACAGAGAACTGCATGATTTTAGCATTCCAACTGCAGCTAGGCTTCATGCAGAAAGGAAGGTAAGACAAAGACAAAATTTATGGAAGCTTTGATTCTGTAACTCTGTAATAAGGGACTTCCCTAGCACAGAGAAGCCATAAGTTCTTCTCCTGCTTCCACTGTCCATTGCATATTTTCTTTAATGATGCTTAGCTGGATATTGTACAGCTAATACTTTTAGCAGAAATTCTTTCTGTTCCAATATGATTGCTACAGTTGTGATGAAAACCACCATTCGTCTCCCCTACCTGGACAATGGCATGTTACTCTTCAATTTCCATGCTCCTCAAGTAATTTTCACATTATTCATGCTGCTCTGTGAGATCATGTTCTTGTCCCTATAAACGTCTTGTATCCATAAACCCTGTCTCCAAGAGCTGTCTCTTCAAATGCCCAGTGAAGTGCAGGAGGAAAAGGCAGCGCTCAGAGTTCTGATCACAACATAAATGAACTTCGAGCAGAACAGAAATTCTTCCACTGCCCATTCTTCTTGGTTATTAAAACTGTAGCAATTCAAGGCCCATCAAGGTGATGTATACCAGAGATCTGAATCCAGACACCTGATTTGCATATGAATTTGAACATCTCCTTTTTGTACCGGCCTAGATAGAGCACAACCACACAGCCTGGAAGAAGCTGGCTTGCTTACGCATAAAAGGCCAAAGAGACTATAACAACTGAGAATCATTTAAGGTGTTCCTCAGTGTTCTCTATTAGAGGCTGCAACTGTATGCCATTTGCCTTCAGGAAAATCAGATTGAATTTTCACTCCTTTCAGATTTAAAATAGTATTTGTAAGGAATTAAATCGCGGAAAAATAATGCATTTCTCTGCAATTTCTGAATCAGCATTGTCCTATTAAACCAGCAGGAGGAATCAGCAGGCACAAACACAGAATTCCTTCTCATTAGGTCTGTCAAATAATACAGCAAGCTCAGGAGAAAACATCCTACTTCATAAGCGGCAGCTCTGAACCCAGAGAATCTTTTAAGGCCTGTTCAAATGACTGATGTTTTTGTAAGTACAACATTCTTAACATATGCAACAAGATTTGTAAGAAGAAATAATATATTTTATTAGATTAAATTATATATATATTTGGAATTGCAAGTCTATCTTCAGATCTAAAACCAAAGCCTTTTACTAATCACAGAGTGGCAATTCTGTGCTCCTATCTTGCAACACTTTCTTTACAGAAACAGAATAAGTAAAAAAGTGGTTCCTCTTTTCCAATACAGCTTAGAAAGAAAGAAGACAAAAAGAAAAGAACACGTCACATAGTTAAGATGAATTATATCATGCATAAACATCCAATGAACTTAAAAGAAAATCATTTTATATTTTAACATACAAAAATGGAAAAACCCCAACAGACACAGGCTTCTGCACCTCCATATCTTTTCTCTCGTCTTGTTCTCTTTTACTGGCCCATTCCACTCCTTTTATTGTACTGAGTGAGTCCTTGGGAATTCCTCCTACAATATATATATTCAGTAACGTCTCCATGTTAAGCCAAAAAGTTCAAAAAACACCATATCTCTCAACATGGCAATATTTAGATTGCCTTTCATGACAAAATTGCAAAGGTTATTGAGGATGAGATCAAGCCATGCCTTTCAACACACTGCACTGGAAAATAGAAAAAAGGAATGGTTTATTTGCTCCTAGCTTGCAGAGATCGTTTTTAACAGATAGCTGCCATCTCTTCCAACTACTCTTAGCCTTGCTATTCATTGATATTTACTCCTTTAACAGATTTTCTGTGATCCTCAAAGATTGCTGCCAGGAGAAATAATCATCTGATTTGAGGCTTTTGAACAGCTCAATGGCCTGCTGGGGCTCCTGTGTATCACAGGGTTTCCCCCCAGCAAGGGCAAGTATCAGGTGTGTGGTGCCGCTGGCTGATGGCAGTGACAGGCTGTCTGTGGTGATGTACTCCAAGGGGCACTGCTGAAGGAATGCCGGACAGCCAGGAGCCTCTGGACATTTCTGCTCTTCTGTTCTCATGTCTGTGCTTTTCCCACAGGTGGAGGGAAGTGTTGAAACTTCCTTCTTGTTGACGTACTGCGTCGCTTCCTTCTGCTCTGGGAGCAGGAAGGGCTGCAGAGGACCTGCTCCCGGCTGCTCCTGCCTCTGTGCAGCCTGGGGGCTGGCTTTGTCTGGAAGGGTCACGTACTGCAGGGACACTGCTTTCTCCTGTTTTCCCATTGGATTCAAGCTCACCTCCAGGGTCTGATGCATCTCAGGCTGAGAAGACCTCACTGGGCTGTACAAGTATGGGCCATTGAAAGCAAAGCAAGTGGTTGCTGTCTGGGAAGTTATACTTGTGTCAGCACAGTTTGTCCTTGAAACAGAATATGAATAGCCAGAAATTGGACTTGGGCAGACAACTGGGGCATGCTCTGGCACATGTAAAGCATGGTATGGGTTCTGTAGGTCCAATGCAGGAGAAGAAACCTCTGTCCTTTCAGTCTGCACTTCAGAGGACTCCGCCAAAATCTTCGTCTGCCTGAAGGAGGGACAGTTAAAATTGCTCATGAGATATGTATTTGTGGTAAACACAAAGCAGAAACACAAGCTTAGTAGAACACAGAGGTAGCTATGCATATGGTCAGAATGATCTGTACAGGTGAGCAAGTTACATCAGAGCACACAGAATTGTATCCGAAGCTCAAAAGTTACTGCCATGGGCTTTTTGGTGGCAGAACGTTTGGCTATGGCTTCCCATGAGTTAGGGAGCTCTATGAGCGTGTCATTCACAGTGTGACTACAATGTTCTCTTCATTTACCTGTCCATATCTTGAAGGAAGCTAGACTGATCCACGTTCTCCACAAGGCTGCATTTGTTGAAGTCCAGCTGGCTGCTTGCATGCCTGTTTCCTAGGGCAACTTTCTGGAAAAGAAAAGAAAGTTGAGCAGACATGAGAAGTGTATTACCAGCAATAGGATCAAGACCCACATGTTACTTATGGAGAAGGAAAACAAGTAGCCTAAAGCATGTGGTAATATGCTCTTGCAAAGTTGGGTTCAATTTCAGTGAAAGAAATAGTTGTTTTCTCCAGGCAATGTTTCGTCTATAAAGATTGAAAGCCTATTATCTATATGAGGTGGACAGAGAAACAGAATTATTGAGATGTTCACAAAACAAGGGATAAGATGATTCAGTGCAAGGATGGGAACTTTCAAAACTGTTAAATTAAGGCATTGAATGCTTGTGGATGGGGAAGCGGGTTATCATATTGCAAAGGTCGTGGAGCAGATCATCTTGAGCGCAATCACACGGCACATGCAAGACAACTACATGGCCATGCCATCATGGGTTCATGAAAGGCAGGTCTTCATCTCCTTCTGCAACAGATGACCAATGCAGTGGATGAGCGAAAGGCTGTGGGTGTACTGTCTAGCCTTTAGTAAAGCCTTTGACTCTGTCTCTCACAATATTTTCCTGGAGAAGCTGGCAATGCACAGCTTACATAGATACACTCATCGCTGGGTAAAAAAGACTGGCTGATGGGGCTAGGCCCAAAGAGTAGTGGTGAATGGAGTTAAATGCAGATGACGCATTCTCCAGGGGTCTGTACTGGGCTGGCCCTGTTTAATATTGTTATTGACAGTCTGGACAAGGGGGTTAAGTGCCCCGTCAGTAAATTTGTGAATGAGACCACACTGTGAGGAAGTGTCGATCTGCCTGAGGACAGGAAAGCTCTACAGAGGGATCTGGGAAGGCTGGATTGATGAGCTGAAGCCAATTGTATGAACCATATCCTGACACTCACTCACTCACACACAAATGAACATATGTGAGTGTCCATTTGCCTCACACAAAGGTCATGTAACAACTTTAACTATTGTATTGCCAGGTAATTAAGATAGAGTAAAGTCAACTGTTGCACAAAAACATGCTTGGGAGTGCAGTGAGAGTAGAGTGGGAACACTGTAGAATTAGAAGTTCTTCTCTTGCAAGGCTGAAGTGTTTTACCACAAAATTCAGGCATGCCTATTCCACTCATTCCTTTTCCACTTTTGGAGGAAAGAGGGAGGGAGAGATACTTCATTGAATAAAAGCTATCTAAACATATTCCTCTCATTCCAAGACAGAAATAGTGACAGAAAGGCATGTAGTAATGTTTATTACAGAAAATCCAACCGCTCAAAATAAGTGTCTTAATCAGAACTATCATCGCACTGTAAAACCTTCGGAATAGTTACTCTCTGGAAACAAAGAAAAGCAACAGATAGATATTGAAGTTTCCAATGACACTGGATTGACTCAATTGGCTAAATTCTTAAAGTACTGAAAATTTCCTACTTTTCATATGAACTGAAATTCTCCAGGCAATAAGGAACAGACTAATTGAAGCGTACGTTCCTTGCAGATTAGGTGACAAAGAGGAGCTCTTGGAATTATTGGGATTCACGAAGAAGAAAAAAATAATGAACCTTCAAAGGCACAGATGCCTCTTACCTTCAAGTAGCTCTGGATCAGCAGACTCTTGCTGGGGTTTGGAATCTTTTCCTCCCACAGCTTCTTCTGCCTGCAGCAACACAGAGTTTTCAAGGTTCGTGTCTCAGTGTGGCAAGAAGAAGAGACTGCACCTCATGCACCATGCTGCTCTGCGTGGCCCCGCCGTTGCCTGGGAGGCCAGCAGCAAACTCGCACCAGTGTCCAGCCATGTACAAGGCTGACGCTGCACACCAAGGCTTCTCTTTGCATAGACCACTCTCGTAGCAGACAAGCAGTGCCTCACCCTTTATCCACTCCCCGTGGCCAACACACAGCTAAATTGCCTTCTCAGGGCACAAACTTACCTGAGTAAGTACTTAAAGCTGCAGTAAGCAACAGCGAGCAAAGTGATGATGAGAACTGGCAGCATCAATGGGAGAACCACTGGTGAAAGAACTGAAAGAGAGAAAGAAGAAATGGGGAGTCAACGTCTGAGGACCCCTTCCCATAAGAAGTTTTGCATTCAGGTGATTCTTCATGAAAGCATATCTGGGAAGTAGAAGAGAACAAATGTGTCCTGACTACCTTATTGATGACCAAAGGAAGTCATCTTTTCCCTCACTGATTCTTTTTCTAGACTTGACTGACTCCACAGGGAAAATAATTTATCCCAACAAAAGCCTGGTGAGGTAGCAGAATTCACGGTGAACGTTAGAGGTCTACAGAGGTCTTAGGTTGCCTGACTTTGTACAGTCCTGGAGAGATGGGAATCTCAGAGATTCTCCTGAGCTCCCTCTGCCTCCCTCTCCCTCAGGAAACAGCAGTGGTCTTTGGCTAGGATCTTTTCTTGATTCTCCATGTGGAAAGCTTTACAGCTAGCTGTATTAGCCTGGGGAAGGGAAGCAGGAAAGGTGCTTACGAGCTGCATCCTGCTCACTGCCTTTGTTAGCGTTCCTGCTGCACTGAAAGGGTGCAAGCAGAACAGTGACCACTTTAAGCAGCCCCACCACAGTTACATGGCTGGATCTGCCTGCAGCGTTCATCACAAGAATGCAGGTGTTTCTCTACAGGCAATTCGTCCACGAACCGTTCAAAAACCTGACAAAAACCGCCCGGGTGAAAAGTACCATTCTCAGTTTCCCAGGTGAACTCCTCACTCCATCCACTCCAGTATCCTTGATAATCCTGGTTATTCACCATTGCACGCATTCTTCCCCTGTATTTGGTAGACGCTGACAACATCTGATCAGTGAAGATGAAGGGAGGTTCATCATTGGTAATTTTTATGCTCTTCATGGTCTGGGGAGAGGAAAGAAGCACAAATGAAAGAGGTGAGAGGAACTGACATCCCCAGTCGCAAAGCAAAGAGAAACCCAGGACTCTTCACTTGCTATCACTCACTTTTTCATACTGGTTGTGCTTCCAGAACTGGACTTCGTACTGCTGTTTTATGGAATCATGCTGTAAAGTGTGTTTTTTCCACCTCAGTTCATACTCCTGATTTCTCATCAGTTCCACAGACACATTTGCAGGTGGCAGCACCTTAACTAGAAAACAGAGAATATCCTAGAGTACATATCAACAAACACACCCAGCATATCCATTCACCATCTTCTGTAATCATCCACCACATCTCCTAAGATTTGCAGCTACAAAATGATCTCTTCTACCATTGCAAGAACCTCTCCCCAGCTCCTGTCTGTGAAAACACCACCAATACTTCCAGATGCTTACAGGTACTGGTGCTCCACCTGGCACACCTCACGCAGCACATCAGCCCTATCTCATGCTGTGCTCCAGGGATCACGTCACAAACCACCAGAAACTCCACTGGGTCTGACCCACAACATCAACCACGTGCTTCCCTTACCAAGTCACATCTCTTCTTCCTCCCAAACACCTTTCCTCACTCCCACTGCCCTCGTCACGTCTTGCCCACACAGGCACTGTTCCAAAAAAACTCCCAGGAGAGGCAAGACTCTCCAAAGCAACTCACTGTTCTTGTAGGCTTCTATCAGTTTCTCCTCCATCTTGGTCCGCACAGACACTTGGTACTGGCTCTGACTGCTGATGTTGCTAACAGGGATCCCACAGCTCTGCACCACATATGGGACATGGGGCAAAGCCTTCTCATACACGGGAGAGCACTCCTCTTCCCTGGGGGAGAAAAGAAGGTGGTGCTGAGATCAGCAGGAATGGCACAGAGCAGCAGCCCAGCAGGAAGGCAGAGGTAAGTATGCCGCCACTGGCAGATCACGTACGCTGATGTTGGAGTGGCCCTGAAGAACAAGCCAAAGATGACAGAGCTAGCAATCGCTTCCTTCACTTCCCAGTTGCACTTCAGATACACACCATTGAAGAGGCATCGAAGGTTCCTGGGATGAATGCCACCTACAGAGAAGATCACAGCATGCTAAGAGGCAGGAAAAGTCCAGTGAAAGCCTTTGTCTTGCATGAGCAGGTACCATACAATGGGGTGGAACACAAAGCACACTGAAAGGGGCAAGATAGGCTCTTGCTCCTGCTCGCATTTCAAACTTCTCCATGCCCTTCTAGGACATAGCTATCCTTCCAAGTGGAAGCAAGACCAGCACCACAGTGGAAGACAGCAAGCAGACTTCTTCATGAGCTACATCCCAAGTCACAATCCGGACCCATGGAGGGCTGCAGACCTCCTGCAGGGGGCACAGCCCCCAGCTATTTCATTATTGCTTGGAGTATCCCAGTGAAACAAGTGTTGAGGCTCCCTGAGAGAAAGCCATCATAGGTGGGGCTTCCCTTGCCACTTTTGGCTTTGGAAGGGACCCACAAGGATCACTGCCTTGCCCTGGCTTCTCAGGGTGACCTCCTACCCTTGCACAGCCCTACTCCATCCCCTTTACCTTCGGGGGTCTCCCAGGACACATCTGTGCTCCACTCGCTGTATTGCCCGGAGAAACCTGTGCCCTGCTCCGGTCTGGCTCGCACACGGGCGATGTATCTGCTCCCTGGGATGAGGTGGCTGAGATGGCAATGAGTGGTGTTGGAGAGCAGGCGGGAAGCAGCCTTCTGTCAGCAGGGGAAAGGAGGGAGAACAGGAATCAGTGGTGAGGGGTGGAGGGAAGACAGAGAAGGAGCACAGATGCATCTCAAGCTGTCTCGTACACGTGAAACATTTCCAAGGTGTTTTGCCTTTCTCCCCCATGAGCCCACAGGCAGCTCTTCAAACGTGCTTTGAATTCATGATGGAGGGATGCAGGGTTAAATAAATTCCAACTCAAAACCCAATTGCACTGCTTTTTCACAGTGAAGAATTGATTTTTGCATTCAAGTCAGGACTAGTGGTATTTTATCAGGAAAGTCACTTGCAGACAGTAACAAAGCCTCTTCCACATGGCCTAAATCAGCACTTACTGCAACTCTTCATAGTGCCTGAGAACAGAAAGGCTGCTCATTTGCATGGCACTGACCATAAGCTCTCAACCAGCCACAAGGCTGCAGCCAGGGCCTGGTGAGGCCAGCTCTTCCTGCTCTTACCTCCCAGGACTCCCAGTCCCGCTTGTAAGCAACTTCATACTCCAACGCATTGCTCAGCCCTTGGCTTCCATCAGGTGCTGTCCAGGTCAGCAAGAAGTCCCCTGAACTTTCTCGGACTGAGAGGTTCTGAGGGGGAAGAGGCTGAACTGGAAGATGAAGGTACAACACATGAGATGCAATTGGAGGAGAGAAACATGAAGAGGGGAACAAAACATGAAGTTAAGCTCCCTCAACTTCCCCATTTTCACAATATCTTATCAGTTCCTGCAGTAGGAAGCTGCTTGCTGTGTGTCCCTCCAACATCCACCTGTTCTCCCAAAAGCATTTGAAAGTTTGCCTTGGAATTTATTCCTTACCATTTTGGAAAAGATGAACTTGTAGTTGTGCTTCAAGATTCTGCTTGGGTTTGAAGCTGTAATAGTCATCCACCCCTATTCCAAAATGTTCTACTGTTTTCCAACAAATCCAATGGCTGTAGGGGCCTGAAGCCTCAGGTAAGTCTTCTTCCAGCTCCTTTTGACAATGCATTTCCTCACTGTCACTGTGTGAATAGAAAAAGTATCTATAACGGTCTGATCTGGTCTTATATAGTTCAGGCAAAACTAAATGTCAGCAGATAATTTCAATCCCTAATGATTATCTAATTTATGTGGGAAGTTATATCCTCATTACCACTGATATCCCTATTTTGCACCTATTACTATTGCTAACATTTTTATCACCATTAATCTTTTATCAAATGCGTTTTCATTTCAAAGTACGCAACATAATATTCTGTTCTCAAGTCAGTCTAGTTTTGTTAGCCTCCAGTCTAAGCCTTGATAATCTCACAATTCTATGTGAGAAGTAGTTTGATGGAAAAGAACATCAGAGAAATGCATTGTTTACTTTGAGTGAAAGGCAAGGAAGTTTCTGACGCTCCTGAGCTTCTTGAAGGAATTCCCTTGGCAGTCCCAGGAAGACACTTAAGCATTTTTTTAATTCAGCCAAAATGTACTTCTCAAGCCTTAGCAGTTCTGTTCTGTCAAGAGACCTGATGTATTCATTAACTTCCTCCAGAATGCTAGGCATCACTTTAGATGGCCTTCCTCCAAGCATCATCAAGATTAAAAACAATATATTATGGTAGTCAGAAGTAGGCAAGCTTTGTGTGCTTGCACAGGTCTGAGTTGCTGAAGAGATGCAGTTCTCCTTTTTGTACCCTCTGAACTTCTGCATGAGCCTATGAATTCATGCCCGTTGTTCCCGTACAGATAAAGCCGTGGCGATCAGAGCTGAGCTACTGTCCTTCAGGACAGCATGAGGTCTCCAAGCCAACCTTACGTCAGCAGGCATTGTTCAGCAGTACTGATAGCTGTCAAAGTTGGGTACTAGTGAGGAAGCCAGGCATATTTCTGAAGAAAGGGAGGGACTGATTGGTCATGATTCCTGTATCAGCCACTGAAAACCCTCCATCATAAAACAATGTTCCAGAGCAGACTCCCAACAGCAGAGCAATTTTCTTTCATCTTTTCCTTCCTTCTCTTTTTTTTTTTTTTTTTTTTCCAGAATAATTGCCCTCAAGGTCCTTTTCCAAAGACCTTCAGCTCATTTCACCTGCTTTTAGGTGTACCAATACTCTCTTACCTACAATAAAATCAAGTGTTCCCTCTTCTCCCTTTCCTTTCTGTATCCCAAGATGCTAATACATTTTCTTCTCAGCTTTCCATCTTTAACTTCCTCTCTATTTGGCCTTTCTTATCCTCACAGCTGATCAAGTCTGCTGATGCTGTTCCCTTTTCATAAGGAAACAGATGCAGCATAGAGATACTCTCATAAACAACCGGTATCTCTGGGAGGAAGATTGATAGCACAGATGATCTTACCCATACCCACACTTTCACAAGCATAGCCTATTCAGGGTCTTCAGAAGTGATCAACACCATACTCTCATTGATGACCCTAAACAGGCAAAATAACTGGGGAAACGTCTCTGCCTGGTAGGTTTATGAATCGCTCCTGAGCCCGCTCTTCTTCTCAATCTATCTTCTCTACCTCGTTGGACAGCCATCCGCGTGCCCCTTCTTATATCCTATCCAGGATTCTGCTACAAACTTATGGGAAAATTATTGAAACTAGGATCAAATTAACTCCACTGGCACATGATTAGAAGTCCTCTCTTCCCCTTTTTGGGACAGGCATCAGAAGCAAGCGCGACTTTGACTGTAACCCAAGAACAGCTGTCACTTTCTGAAAACCCGACTGCCAGCCCAGAGATTCCAAAAGAGTGTTGTGGCCAAACACTCTTTGGATGTTTTTCTTGCACAGTTCACTTCAGGTACTTACTTTTTAATAACATTCCTTTGGTACAGAGTCAAACCAAGGAGGGCATGAGCCTCGGAGTGTTCCTTCCATGTGCACGTCACGAGTGAGCTGTAGTCATTGTGGCACCTCAAGCTCTCCATCGGAACGCTTTCTGAAATGGATGCCAGCCAAAATAAACGTGCACTGCTTACAAATGGAAATAGTGAGAGCTAGCAGGAAGGACAGCGATTCTGCCATCAGAATGGGAAAGGCATCAAGAACAACACTCTTCTGATGGCACCAAATAATGACCCTTGGTGAAAATACGTTTGAAGTTGTGCTCCTTCCCCACATCTCCACAGTACCAAAGAGTCAAGCCAAGGGACAACAACGGTGAAGCGAGACCTTTGAGCCTGCAAGACATGTTTCTGGCCAAAGTATCACTTCCAGGCAGAGACAGCTTTCTGGGCATAGTGAATATCACAGTTAGTGGGGATGTGCTGATTATTTCATCTTTCTGGGACTTCTTTGCAACCGATTTCCATACTCTCACCTATTTGTCTGCACCTGCACCTGCACCTGCCACAAACTGACTGCTTTTGATCAGAATGCTTGTTGTCCTACAGCAGAGAGGATAGGAGCAAAAGAAAGTAGAAAATGGGGAAGAGTGAGTCAGGTACAAAGAAGAGAGGAAAAAGGCAGGAGTCAAATAAAAGAAATTATAAATCTGAAACTCACCATTAATGGCTTGGTCACTGAAGGCCAATGACAGATTTAGCAAAAAGATGAAAAACCCTTTCATCTTCATACTGTCCTTTGAACACAGGTTTTTATTAAAAAAAATGTTTTCATTGCCCACTCTTCTTTTGTCTTGTTGTGGAGCTTCTTGTTTTCATTTCATGAAAAGAGAAGTAAAACTCAGTTAGGGAACCTTAGGCATTTTGCTGTCTTGAAATTATATTTGAAAAGAACTCCCTAATTTGCTGTGATAAAATTCAGACAGAACATCTACAGATCCTTTACTGATGGGCAGAAACCTGTTCTTATTGTGTGAACCTGCAACATGAGAAAGGACTATAGAGTAAATGTGCCCATCCAAGGAAGTGCACAGATTCTTTCAGCTCTTGAGAAGAAACATGCATATTCTGTGAATAAATTTATCCTTCAAATTCATTCGTCCTTCTGCTCTTTCTAGTCTTCCTACTCTTCCTTCTGTTTTGTTATTTTCCTTAAAAATATATTCCACAACCACATACCTCCAGAATACGTGATTGAATTTCCATATTCATTCATTTTCAGGTTTCTCTTGAATATGGTACTCCCCAGACAAGTTGCAAATTTTAGCAACAATTTCAAATAAATTATTTCTCCTCTTTGCGGTAGACCATGGCCCACATTCTTTGGTGCCAGAATACTGGCTCTTCTGGCCATCTCTCATTGCTTTCTCCAAACTATGATAACCTTACAGAGCTGAGACCCCTGTACTCAGGGAACATGCAATCTCTAGCTCTTTTCTACTGTAGAGGAACATGGAGAGATCTCCTTTTAAATCTCTGTTGACTTTCAGATTCCTGAATGTTGCTTATTGACACCAGAAACAGCTGTATGAGCCCTCGCATAATCATTGCAAAGCTTTCCCTTAAGAGCTCTCAAGACTTTCCAGGATAGAAGACTGCTATTTTGCCTTCCCCAGAAAGAAGCAGTTCCCTTACCTGCATCCAGAGTTGTCTGTGAGGCAGATGATAAAACCTGATGGATGACCCTTACTGTTCAGCTTCCCCAGCAGTATGAGAATCTTCTGATGCAGCAACCAGCTGCTTCCCTACAAAGGAATCTATACAATATTTTTGTACCTTCCATACATTCAAATGTCGGTTTTGAAGAAGCAGACCACACCCTTCCAACGAAAATAGATGCTTGTGCAGTTGCACAGTCATGTTCCTCCTGTTTTAAGCTCCCAAGCACTTACTTCATGCGGACTGTTTAAGTGGGAAATATGGGGAAGGAAGTATGTCACTGCTAATCTGTATGTTAAGAATTATCTTTTCTTGGGATTAGTTTATTTATGAAGAAAAAAGAGGCAGAAAAAGGATCGACTGCAGTAAATGTATGAAAGTATAGGAAGGAATTATTTCTACTCAAGTATTGTTACTTGCTTTATTGTAGTCTTAAAAAGCTCCAAGAGTGGGATCATTTTTCACTTTGTGCTTGTATGTTTATATGTAATTTGAAACTAGAGAGACGACCTTTATCACTGCAATCCTTTAATTTGAGCAATATTTTAAAACCATTTACGTTTTACTGATTTCAACAATTAATAATTGATGATGATTTTTATAATACGTAGATTAAAGTGAAAACTGAGGCTTTGTTCCTTCTAATCTCAACCATTCTGTGGTTCTATGAAAGACATACTCAGATTTGTGCATTTAGGAGTAAAGTACAAGGGGCTGAGATGGGTCCCCAGATACAGAATATAATTCTTCAGTCTGTTTGTTTTTCACAGCCACTAGACCTCTAAAATCTGACCAAAACCACACTTAGCAGATATAGTCACTCACAAGAACTCCTTCAATATACAAGAGAATGTATACATACATATATATATATATTCTGTGAATAAGGGAATAATAGAATCACAGAATGGCTTGAATTGGAAGGGACCTCAAAGATTATCTAGTTCCAAACTCCCTGCCATGGACAGAGTTGCTGACTGCTAGATCAAGTACTAGATAGGGTTGCCCAAGGCTCTATCCAGCCTGGCCTTGAATGCCTTCAAGGATGGGGCATCCAAAACCTCTCTAGGTATCCTGTTCTAGTACTTCACCACCCTCTCAGTGAAAAACTTCCCCTCAACATCTAATCTAAATCTCTTCTCATTCAGTTTAAAATTGCTGCCCTGGACCTATCACTATCTATCCTTGTAAAAATTCCTAGAGACAGACCCCCTTGTGGAACACCACTCATCACCAGGCTCCACCTGGACATAGAGCCACTGACCACAACCCTTTGGCTACAATATTCAGGATGCCCAAGGAGGCTGTGGATACTCTGTTCCTGGAAGCATTCAAGGCCAGGTTGGATGTGGCTCTGGGCAGCCTTGTCTAGTGGGTGGCAACCCTGCCTGAGGCAAGGGTGCTGAAATTAGATGACCTTTAAGGTCCTTTCCAACCCAGGCCATTCTATGATTCTGTGATTCTACAGTTCTATGATTCTATGATTCTTTCTGGTTGATACATCCTTGCTTTTACTACCTGTCCACGTCCTTTTTACCCCCATTTGATCAACAGGTCCTTGCTAAGCTATACTGGTTTCCTGCTTCCTCTGCTTGTTTTCATATAAGGGAGAACAGAGAGCTCTTGTGCTCACAGAAAGACAACCAGAGAGAGTTGCCAACTCTGCTCCACTCCTTTGTCTCTAAGGACATCTTTCCACAGGAACTCACCCACTGATTCCTTAAACACCCTGAAGTTTGCTTTCCTGAAGTTTGGGGTTCTGACTTTGCTCTTTGCCAGGCCCATCCTCCTCTACCAAATCACAGTCCCTGCAGACCAGTGTGCCTCCCATCTTAGCCTCTTTAATGAGCTACTCTGAATTGGCGAGAATCAGGTCCAGAAGTGCTTATTCTCTAGTCAGTTTGTCTAATACCAGGAGCAGGAAGTTCTCCTCAACAAGCACCAGGGGTCTTCAGGATTGCTTGCAGCCTGCCATGTTGTTTTTCCATAGACATACAGGTAGCTAAATTCCCTGCCAGTTCCTCCTGTGAGTGCAACGCTTCCCATAGCATAAGCAAGAATGACTCATCCATAGGCTCTCCCTTGATCAGGCAGCCTGTAATAGACCCTGACCATCAAATGTCCTTTCTTGGTCCAGTCCCTGATTTTCACCCACGAGTTCTCAACCTGAGCATGGCTATTTCTCAGATGTAGCTCTTCACACTCTGTCCAACTCTTAACATAGAGAGCAACTCCCCCACTCCTCTTTCCCTACCTATCTCTTCTGAAAACCTTCTAGCCCTCAATCATCATACTCCAGTCATGTATATCAACCCGCATGACTGTGATCACAATTACTCTGTGATCACATACTCTTCTAATTGCATTGTGGATTACAACTCTTCCTGCTTATTACTCAGGCTGCATGCATTGATGTAGAGGCACTTCATTTAGGCTACTAGCAATGTTATCTTATCTGAGGAGTCCTCACAAGACACCTCAGCCCTGCTGTTGTGGATCGTGGTCACCGCGTTTGTTGTGACACAGTGCTGCACCCTGGTGTGCCCAGAAGAGCAGAGAGCATTGTGGCCTGTGCTAACAGCCAGGAAGGCTTTGGGTCAGGTTCTGGAAAAGATATCAGGTAAGGATGTAATTATTTACTGTGCACTTTTCTGTGCTTACTACACTCTTGCTTTAAGTATCCACTGTAAGCTATGGTCAGAGGCAGAATATCAGACAGGATGAAATGACTGTTTGGCCCCGTTGTGTTCATCTGTGTTCCTATATCACGGACTTTCCTCCACATAGAAAACAATGTCTTTAGGTGCTGAAACAGATCATAAGGAGTGAGAGGAATCAGAGATTAATCATTGGACATGTATAGGAAAAAGACTGTGTACAAATGCATTTGACATTGTGTGAACAAGAAAGTCTACAGCAATTGTCAGGGTGGGTTGGGCTTGTTTTGCATTACGCTGTAGAGATAGAGTTTTCTCAGAAATTATCCAGCTGCTGTTCTTTGAGATCTCGGTGGGCTTTCCATTCCTGTTTCCTTTTCTATTAAACCATTCACCCTCAGTTTCCTTCTTCATGTAAAAGACAACCCCCAGACTTGCAAAAACACAACAACTGACTCGTTCCACATGGATTGGCATTGGAACTATTGAGGTCACAATGTACTTTGCAACTTAATCTCATGCAAAGTCAGGTAATACATTTCTGGTTGAGGTTTATTCTTATGAAGCAATAATGAAGTTATTAGCTAAGAGAAAGAAAGAGAAAATTTCTTACTGTCAAAACACAGTTAGAAATCTTTGAAGTTGAATCAGAGAGTTGCAAAAGGTGATCTACGCTATTAATTGAGATGCTTACTTCAGGAAGGAATGTAAGACAAAAACAAAGCCTGTGGACGCTTTGATTCCAAGGTGATGCATATCAGAGATCAGAATCCAGATACCTGAGTTGCATATGAATTTGAACATCTCCTTTTTTGTACCAGCCTAGCTAGAGCACAACCACACAGCCTAGAAGAAATTAGCCTTCTTACACATAAAAGGCCAAAGAGACTAAAAAAACTTGAAAATCATTTAAGGTGTTCCTCATTCCATATTCTCTGTTAGAGGCTGCAACTGTATGCCTATTCCCATCAAGAATGTCAAATTGAATTTGGCCTCCTTTCAGATTTAAATTAGTAAGCAATTAAATTGTGAAAAAATAATGCATTCCTCTGCAATTTCTGAATCAGCATTGTCCCATTAAATCAGCAGGAGGAATCAGCAGGCACAAAAACAGAACTCCTTCTCATCAGGTCTGTCAAATAATACAGCAAGGTCAACTTACAGGTGACAGTTCTGAACTTACGGAATCTTTTAAGGTCCATTCAAAAGAGCTAATAGTAATGTTGTAAGTACAACATTCCTAAGGCATGCAACAAGAGATTTGTAAGGAGAAATAATATTATTTTATTAGATTAAATTATATATATATTTGGAATGGCAAGTCTATCTTCAGATCTAAAACCAAAGCCTTTTACTAATCACAGAGTGGCAGTTCTGTGCTCCTATCTTGCAACACTTTCTTTACAGAAGCAGAATAAATAAAAAAGTGGTTCCTTTTCCAATACAGCTTAGGAAGTACAAGAAAAGAAAGAACACGTCACATGGTTAAGATGAATTATATCATGCTTAAACAGCTGATGAACTTAAAAGAAAATCACACAATGAGAAATAGAAAAGCCCCACCAGACACAGGCTTCTGCACCTTCACAGCTTTTCTCTCGTCATTCTCTGTTATTGTCCCTTTCCCTTCCTCTCTGCACTGAATGAGTCCTTGGGTTTTCTTCTAGTGATGTATCTTCCCTATGGTCCCCCAGAGCCTATTGCATGTATCTCAGTAATGTTTTCTTCTTATCCTAAGAATACACCGTGATACAATGCATCTTAAATTAAGAAAGTTTTCCTGGACTTTGGCCATTTTTTCTCATTTTCTATTTATGCTTCTATAACTGTCTGGTGATTTTTCATCTGAGATGATACCTAACCTATGCTAGTAGTGAAAACGTAGAAATAATTAAAGGTCCTTGATGAGTCTTTGATCTATTTCACACACACAGAAGATTATAAAATTACTTGAAACAATCTTATATAACAAAGGTCTTTAAATGGCTTGCAACCTGATATCATTTCACAAACTCAAGTCAGCATTTCTTCCAACAGGTTTTGCTCCAGGCAGTCTGGAGCTATGGTAAAATGAATGCAACCAGTGCAGGACCATAAGAAGGCTGAAGTGTATTTTGTAGATAATCCAAGAATCTAAGAAAACAAGAACTATCTCATAGTGATGATATTTGGATGGTCTTTCATGACAAAATTGCAAAGGAAATTGAGGATGAGATCAAGCTATTGATTGGCATGGCTTTAAACATGTTGCACTGGAAGACAGAAAAAGGAATTTCTGTTTATTTGCTGAGTTGGTTTATATCAGATAGCTGCCACCTCTTTCAGTTACTCTTAGCCTTGCTATTCATTGATATTTTCTCCTTTAGCAGATTTCTGTGATCCTCAGAGATTGCTGCCAGGAGAAATAATCATCTGACTTGAGGCTTTTG